ATGATTTCTATGTTACAATGAGAAAGCAGATACATACGGAGGCTAAGTAATCTTCCCAAGGTTACACTGCTAAAATGGAATTCTGATCCAGGTCTTTCTGTCTCCCAAGAGTTGAGCTATCTGTCACTACTCTCTCCTGTCTCCTCACTCCATAAATCTCTGCTGAATAAATCTGCTGAATGTAACATGTTCCAACAGAGCAACTTTAAAAAAAATTCAGGAAAAAGAAAAACCTCATAAGAAGCATGAGTATTGTGGGGGCACCTTGGGTGGCTCAGTCAGTTAAGCATCTAAGACTGGATTTCAGCTCAGGTCATGATCTCATGGTGGTGAGGCTGAGCCTGAGTCAGCTCCATGCTGTGTGTAAAGCCTGCTTAAGATACTCTCTCTTCCTCTCCTTTGGCCCCTCCCCCTGCTCAGGCACATACTCTCTCTCTCATAAATAAATAAACAAATAAATAAAGCATGAGTATTGAAACTCAGCTATGCATTACATAATTCTTTTTTTTTTTAATTTTTTAAATGTTTTATTTATTTTTGAGAGAGAGATAGAGAACGTGAGCAGGGGAGGGTCAGAGAGAGAGGGAGTCATAGAATCCGAAGACGGGCCCCAGGCTCTGAGTTAGCTGTCAGCACAGAGCCTGATGTGGGGCTCGAACCCACAAACTGAAGCTGAAGTGGGACACTTAACTGACTGACCCACCCAGGCGCCCCTGCATTACATAATTCTTAGAGTGAACAGTCAACAGCCTGCCCGAGTGTAAGTTGAGGAAAATATGAACAACCATGACTGACTTCACAGAAGATGCATCAGGACTTGATGAGAGCTGAGTGCAGCTGTAGCTCAACTCTGACCCTGGGCCAGGGAGTACTTCTGTGAAGAAGTCTCTTAATCACAGAGAATGGGCTCAGAGCTGGGCTGGCTGCAGTGGGGCATATGAGAAGACACCTACTCCCTCAGTTCTCTGGAGTCAACTCTTTTTCTAATTTCTCGAGAGTTCTAGCTATCCTTAAAAGGCAAAACTTATCAAGCATCCTCCAATGAAAGGTGACACTGAATAACTGCCAAACTCCTCCCCCTCAATGTGCTGAACTCTCAAATCCTAATATTTTAAGGGTGCACAGAAGGAAGTAAAGAGCTCTGAACAGCATAGCCTAATGGCGCAAACATTTGGCAATTTGGGATAGTAGCATCAATGATGCTTACTGTAGCATTCAGAAGGTTAAGGATTTGTAAGAATATAGGACCCAATGTCATGAGAACACCTCTCACCCTTACCTGAAGAAAAACATTTGTTTTCATAAGTGAAAATCCTTTCTGGGGGAGAAAAGGGACAATAAGAGATAATAAGATAATAAGAGGTGGTTGGATCCTTGAAACCAAAGAGTTCTAATTCTAAGAAGGAATTAGAACTAAGGCAGTGTGAGGGGGGATCAGGGGAGGGGTAGTCATGGTACAAAAGACTAACCAGACACTTGAAAACAATGGCCCCTAATAACAGTTTCACTAAAAAAATGTAAGAGGCACTTTAACACTCACCAAATTCTTTGCAGCTCACATTTTGGGCCTGGGAAAAGATCCTGATAATTTACGCCTTATTTAGGCATATTTATGGAGAGTGGGGACACTCTGCCAGGTGTTATGGATATAACCTTGAGTAAAATATGCCCGGGAGGCCTGGGTGGCTCAGTCACAGGTAAACGTCTGACTCCTGATTTCGGCTCAGGTCATGGTCCCACTGTTGTATAGACTGAGTCCCGCATCAGGCTCTGCACTGACAGCCTGGAGCCTGCTTGGGATTCTCTCTTTCTCCCTCTCTGCCTCTCCTTTGCTTGCACACATCCTCTCTCTCTCACATTCTCAAAATAAATACATAAACTTAAAAAAATATGCCCTGCCCTGCGTGGGCTCACAGGCTTCCACCCAGGTGGCTGGCTGGGAAGGAGTGACCTGATAAATGTCATTTTTCTAATTTGCCTGATCCCTGCCCTTCCTTTTCTTCTTTTGACATGGAGGTAAGGGCAATTGGTGGGTATTTTATCAACTCTTCACTAACCACCTACCACATTCTGGGCCAAACATCATGCACCTGGAAAATTGTGCAGAAAACACACAAAACCCCCAAGAGGGAATTATGGCCTGAGGGAAGGCAGAAAAGAAACAAGGTGGGATTTTCCTTGGAGACAGATGTGACTGGGGGCCTGCTCCCTGTGCAGACCCCTGGCCCCAGAAGCCCCGGGCGGAGAAGACAGACGTGGAGGTGTAGCCGGGGAGATCCTGTCCTGTTCCCCTTACAACCACCACCCCCCCAAAAACCCCCAGGAGGGCACAGAAACCATGCAATTAAATGACAGAGTCTAACACTCACTGTGTTTACATGGCACCAGGCAATCGTTGTTGCCTGAAAAAACTTTTCTTGCTGCATAATTGGCTGACTGGCTGTTTGGGATCCATATAAACAAGCACAACCTGCCTGTACTTAACTGCCTGGCCTTACAGTCAGACACGTTTACTTACGTATAAACAAAAACATCATTGCAAGTCTTCCAAATCCACATGTCATTCCTTTCTATTGTGAATCAAAACTTTGCTTTCCCATCATAAAAGTCTCCTCCTTTTTTTAAAAATTTTTAATGTTTATTTATTTTTGAGAGAGAAAGGGACAGAGCATGAGCTGAGGAGGGGCAGAGAGAGAGGGGGAGACACGGAATCTGAAGCAGGCTCCAGGCTCTGAGCTGTCAGCACAGAGCCCAACACAGGGCTCGAACTCATGGACTGCAAGATCGTGACCCGAGCTGAAGTCAGATGCTTAACCGACTGAGCCACCCAGATACCCCTAAAAGTCTCCTCCTTTGGATTTCCCAAGGAAGGTTTCATTGTATTCGCTTTGACTAGGGCAGTTCCTTCTGTCGTGGCCCAGGCTGCTCATTTCTGCCCACACAGCCTGGTCTCTGGTTTGGGCACGTACAGGGAAACTCTTTGCTGATCACCCTGTGTTGGGCCACACCTCGGGGAACTAGGGATATGGAGGGAGGGTCTTTACAAGGAAATGATAAATGGCACAAAGAAAGGTATGTGTGCATGGAGAGCGGTACTGGGGGCAGGCGGAGGTACTTCATGATGTAATGTGCAGAATTCCATCTTTCTCTATTTCTGACACAAGCGTACAAACCTGCAAAGATGTCTAAAATACCATCAACAGACTCAGGCATTTACTCAGCACTCGTGTATGCACTACTATCCTAGAGTGAGCAGAGTACACACCAGCGCAGACTCCAACCATTCCCAATTAACTGGACTTTGTGTTGCAAAACTCACTTTCATTTCACTTATGTTAAATTATATATAGGGAAGCCTGGGTGGCTCAGCCGGTTAAGTTTCCAACTCTTGATTCTGGCTCAGGTCACAATCTCACGCTTCATGAGTTCGAGCCCCGTGTCAGGCTCCAGGCTGACAGTGCAGAGCCTGCTTGGGATTCTGTCTCCTTCTGCCCCTCCCCTGCTTGTGCTTGCTCTCTCTGTCTCAAATTAAGTAAATACACTTAAAAAAAATCTTATATCTAAACTGTGGAGCCAGGAAATTTGTAGAAATTCAGGGTATTTCCTTAGTAAATGAACTGGTGCAAATTCATTCAGGTCAAAAGTTGTGAAAGCGAGCATTGTTAGCATATTTTTGCAGCAGAGAACATTGTGATGGTCAATGGCACTAAAAATAGCTGAGAAAAGAATTAGGAGTTCATGACTGGAAACAAGAAAACAACAACTTTATCCAAAATCTCAAAACGTCCGTTAGCATCCCTCCATATGCATTATTTTGACAATGGGAAATGGAATTTAATTTTTTTTCTTCAGTCCACAGCTGTATGTCTCCTCCCACGTGGCCCCTGGGAAAACCTTATTCATAAACGGATAATTCCCAGATAAGTAACTTCTTTGCTGGCTGTTTCCATACAGCTCCACAATAACAAGGCAACTCTTGAACTTGCCACTTCAAGTTCCTGTCGCTTCAATAGTGATGTCATGGAAAGACATTCCCACGTGCTGTTTTTGTTGCCCAGCTAGAGACTGTAAAGGAAATTATGCTCTGTCTCTAGGTTTTAATTTTCCATAAAAAGTCATTCTCATTGCCAGAACTGCCTAAACTGTGAAAGAAAAGTGATTTAATTAGGTCATAGCCATAGTTAGATTTTTAAGTACACTCTTCTGACAGAAAAGTCTTTACAGCACAGCTTCATTGGGTTTAATAATTTATTTTCATCAAACCATTCTTGATGCCTTATGGTGCTGAATAACAACCGAAGGAGGAAGACACAAGAAATACTAACTGCTGTGCGGAAAGTTATCTCTTCAAGTGAACTTTTCTTGTCTTTTTTTTTTTTTTTAACATTTATTTATTTTTGAGAGAGAAAGAGAGAGCACAAGCAGGGGAGGGGCAGAGAGAGAGGGGGACAGAGGATCTGAATGGGGCTGTGTGCTAACAGCAGTGGGCCCAATGCAGGGTGCAAAGTCATGAATTGTGAGATCATGCCCGGAGCTGAAAATGGACTGAGCCACCCAGATGCCCCTCAAATGAGCTTTTCAATGTCACAGCAAGGGGGGTGAGTCTTGGGCTGAAAAAGACAGACTGAATGAGGGAGGCTCCTCTTTCTTGATTCCCTTTCCCCATTCAGGAAGTGTGGAAAGACAGTGACGGGCTCTCCACACCCAACAGATGGATATGATGACAAGAATGATGAGGATGTGGGCGCCTGGGTGGCTTAGTCGGTTAAGCATCTGACTTTCGCTTAGGTCATGATCTTGCGGTTCGTGGGTTCGGGCCCCGCGTCGGGCTCTGTGCTGACTGCCAGCTCAGAGCCTGGAGCCTGTTTCAGTCTGTGACTCCCTCTCTCTCTGACCCTCCCCTACTCACGCTGTCTCTCTCTCTCTCTCTCCTAGAAATAAATAAAACATTAAAAAAAAAAAAAAAGAATGATGAGGATGATAAAGGAAAGGAGGTAACTGTGTCCACTTCAGCAGCATGTATGCTAAATTTAGAACATCACAGAGACGATTAGCATGGCCCTCCACACATGAATGACACACAAATGCATGAAGAGTTCCCCGTTTTTCTGTAACTATGTGAGGTGATGGATGTTACCTCAACTTATTACAGTGATCATCTTGTAATATATACAAATATCAAATCATTATGTTGTGCACCTTAAGCTAATACACTGTTATATGTCAATCATATCTCAATAAAACTGGGCGGTGGGGGGAAGGAGTAATAGTAGCAAGAGTAGGAAGAGGGGGAGAGCTAACACTGTTCAGCATAGACGACCTAGTGAGAGCAAAACATGATGGGCATCATAACTACTCCCAGGATTTCCCATAGTCTCTGTGTGTGTGTGTGTGCACACACACGTGTGTATACACTTGTGCATGCCAGAAATTGAACCTAAGAAGGCTCATTCCTGAACCTGAAAGATGTGTTTACTTGTCCCCTCCTCAAAAGTTTAGTTGTGATTCAAAATTAAGCCTTGAGACTTCTGAAAACTTAAGTGAAGGGTAAAAAATTATGTTATTTAGAAGACATGAGATTTGTGTGATTCCATATTAAAAGACATTAACCTGCTCCTTCCTCTTCAGAAAAAAATTTCTACCAGAAACAGCAAGAATTTTGTCAATGGTCTTGGAGACATTTTAAAATTCCAAACATCAAACTCACACAGCATCTTTTGACAACACTTTTACAAGTTCGTCCTATACATGAAACAGGCTTAATTTTACCTAGTAAACTGACATTGCCAAGACTTCTTCTTGGTTCAATATCTTGGTAATAGGTCAAGAGAAATATCAACATGTCATTGAAACAAGAAAGACATTAGTCTGTGCTCCCAAGATCTGGCAAAACAGAGACAGCTAGTCAAAACTCAGAAAAATTCTTATCCTTTTAAGAAATCTTCATAAGGATAAATCAATTAGAAGCTGAAACTTACCAGTAGAATCTTAGGGAAACACAGTTCAGGATGGCAGTCTGTTACTACACAGGGAGGTGTTGTTATGGAGACAGCTTTGAAGGCTCCCTGGCAATCCGATGTATAATTAAGGCTCCATCACAGAACAGCCAGTAGGGTGGTCTCCATGGGAACCAACAAACACACATTGTCAGGGGCCTAGCAACTGTTCTGAATCAATGACTCTTTATATACGTTTAACAACATTGTGAATGGGGCATCAATTGCTTCTTTTGTTAGACAATGTCTGATTAGGTATGTGTGAGAGACCCTGTTTCGTGCATGCCAAATTTCCAGTAGTGTCTAGAGTAGGCTGCCCACAGCTAAATTCACTTACCTAGAACTAGGGAAATACAAACGATAAATTCAGACTCAGGAAATCACTGGCTAATTTGGCGAAAGAATTAAACCAATGGTTGACAGTGCCAGGAAGGACCAGCCAACTACCGGCACTCACTCTTCTATAGCTGTCTAAATATTATTTGATCCTCTCAGTACATTATTATTATATTTGTTTCCAGATGAGCACACATCTAGAAAGTGGCAGACCTGGGACTCAAAGGTAGGTCAGAAGTAAGTCCTGGTCCAGGTTTATATAACTCTACATAATAATGCTCTTGTGTCTGCGTAGCACGTTATCACGCCCCAGCTACCCTCACACACATTATCTCATATATTCTGCTTTAATCTTGAAACACTGGGGAATTCAGTTCTAGACTTTTTAAATATTGCAACATTTTTTCCCTAGATCTTTGTCTGCTTGCTCCATTTCTGCACCTACCCCCCCACACACTCCAGCTTTGAAGATTTACGTGAGACCATGTCTAGGAAGGTTTCCCCCATCCTCTATCTGGACTGTGGGAGAAAGTATTTCTGAAACAGCAAAGGGAAGGGAAACCCATTATATAAGCATGGATTTTGACTGCCCAAACTCTAACAACTGGGAAAAACATCTCAATTAACTGCTTGTAGCATATTACACATAATCTTCCATGAGAGAAGGCAGACTTTGATGATACGGATGGAAGGTGAGATTGCTGATTCTTACTTTATTCTGATGGGTTCTATTAAGGACTTTTTTTGAGAGACAGAGAAAGTGTGTGAATGCGTGCATACATGTATGCAAGCCGGGGACTGGGGGGCGGAGAAGGGCAGAGAGAGAAAGAGGGAGAGAATCTTAGGCAGACGCCACACTCAGCTTGAAGCTCCACATCGGGCTTGATCTTGAGACCATGAGATCATGACCTGAGCCAAAATCAAGAGTCAGGTGTAACCGACTGAGCCACTCAGGCGCCCCTATTAAGGACTTTTAAAAGCTGGCCAATGCTTTATTAAGTAGGTACTGATAATCAATGATCAGGCTCCTAGCAAGTCATCATTATATATAATCTTACAATTGAATGTACATGTCATCAGGATTTAACCTTAAATATTAGATACATCAACACTGTCAGAGCTCACTTGAGTCATAACATTTCTAATATTTCTGAGCTATTTGATCAAAACCAGAGAGGCTCTTTCCTTGTTCCCCTGAAACCGCATCTCTTGGGAAAGCCTCCTTCCCATTTTTCACTGCCTTCTATGGAGGCTCAGGAAAAACACTGTTTTCTCTAAAGCTACCTCCCATATCCCTTCCATCTCCGACTGAAGTTTGTTTTCCCTATTTCCCTTCCTTCTTCAGCATCTCCAAATCTCTCTGTATACAGCATCTTCTTTTCTAGTTTCAAATATGCCCAAATCCTTCTTTCCTCAGAAAAGAAGTTATCTTTGCTAGATCTGGCTATCCCCCTACCCACCACCAGTCACAATCTCCTTCCAGGATCTGTGTATTCTTGGAGACTTATGATCTACCTTCCACCCCCTCCCACCCTGTCCTTCTAAAACTTTTTCCTCCAAGACCAGTGATGTCCTTGGCCTAGGCTTATCTCAATCCAAATCTCTCTGACCTCTTGAAGGCATTTTGCATTTCCTTTAAACTCTCCCTTAGACTTTGCCACAGAGAACTTTCCCAGCTCTCCTTGGCTATCTCTTCTCTCTCCCATACATTATTGATCTCTGGTATCCATGTGTCCCCAAGCAAAATTTTAGCCCTCCGCTCTGCCCCACCCAAACCTCTCTTGATCCTGTCGTCTATTTCTTCACATTCCCCCCTTTTTTAAATGTTTATTTATTTATTTAGAGACAGGGAAATAGTGCACACATGCATGTATGAGCAGAGGAGGGGCAAACAGAGAGAGGGAGAGAGAGAATCCTAGGCAGGCTTCACTGTCAGAGCAGAGACCAATGCGAGGCTCGATTTCATGAACCTTGAGAACATGACCTGAGCAGAAATCGAGGTGGACACTTAACTGCCTGAGCCACCCAGGACTTCTCTTGATGTTCTTGATTCCAATTCCACTGCTCTAGGTGGAGCCCAAATGGACACACGAAGCCCTGAGCTCTGCTCTCCATTTCACCCCATGTGTCCACACAAAGCAGCTCTCTTTTGATGCTCCCTCACCATACACATCTGTCTAAAGTAGATTTCATCAGCTTCCCTCCCCAAAGATGTTCTTTCATAATCCCCCACCCATTTCTGTCTGTGATGCCATGGATATCTCATGTCCCAAGCCACAAACCTTTGGAGCCACTTGTGAGCTTCCTTATCAGCCATTCCCTGGACGAAAATGACTGTCACACACTCCCTACTGTTCTAAAAGGATCTGAGTCTTTGTTATCTAATTCTTTGATCACATCACATAAAACTGAGATTAAATAATTACAATTTCTCTTCTTCAGATTGTCAGTCAAGTTGACCTCTCACCTTTATTACCATCACTCACTGCCTTGATTCACCTCCCTTCTAAATGCTTGGAACTCATTTCCAACATGACTTGCCTTTAGTTGATCTAGTTGGTCCCATTCAAAAGTTCACAGTGGTCTCTGGTGCATGGCTTTTAGGGCTTCCTAACCTATCTCTTCTGGGCCCGATTTCCCCCACACCCTCACGCTCTCCTCTTCTGGTCAAATTTATTTCCTCATGGTTCCCCATGTGCACATCCTGCCTCAGGGCCCCTGCCACTCATCCCAGAAGGCTGTCCTTCCATTTTCACTTCTCCCAGGCAACCCCGGCTTGCAGGGGCCCGTTCAGTCTCTCCACCGCCTCGGCCCACTTGGAGCTCCCCTTTTCCCAACTCCTGAGGTCAGTACCAGCCCGCTTAGCAACATCCTGTAACAGTCTCACCCTGTCACACTTATCTCCTCCTCTGGATTTTAAGATGCACTTAGCAGGCCCTACACATAATCTAGCCCATTTCCCCCCCGCTCCAGACTCCAAAGGTTTCCCCAATAAATGCTGACTGGTAGAACCATGTCCAAAAAGAAGGCCATTCAAAGAGGGATCACGCACCTTGAAATACGGCACTTTTAATATTACCCAAACTGTAAGAGTCTAGCATACCTTCAAATCCCATGGAATTAACAGTTGTTTCAGGCAGGCAATAAATCATGAAACATTGTCAGGGAAGGGACTGGGGGAGGCAAGTAAGGTACCTAGGGTGCAACATACAAGGAGGCACTCACTATTCTCAGGTGCCAACCTCACACTGAATGGTGGTCCTCATCCCAGCCCTGTGCACATGAAAAATGAGACTCTTAACAATCAAAAAACAAACTAAACCAAATCAAGAGATACATCCAAGGCAAGCTACAGAAAAATCTTTCCCAGGGCCATACAGAACAGACCAAGACTTGGTTTCCTGGTTTACCACTGACTCAGAACAAAATGGCGGCAGCAACTATGGCATTAGCTTAAAGGAAAAAAGCATTCTTATGGAAGCAGCTTTGAAATGGAGAGCAAATCCTGGATTCTAAGGGCCCTAGAGGGCAGCGCTGCTGTCTGGGAATGGATCTTCTCTCCTGGCTCAACCTCAGCATAAACTCACTCTGGCCTCAGTAGCTTCTTCCCAGTGCATGCTGAGAACACCAGTCAGTTTGAAGTTAACAAGGATGAGACAAGGCACTATTCAATGTGGAAAAAATCCTCACATGATCACTTAAACTGCTAGGGAAACCCATTAGCATACTACATCTTCCTTATATGTCTACATATTTCATTGCTTTCCTCTTAAATT